ATAGATAGATAGATAGATAGATAGATAGATAGATAGATAGATAGATAGATAGATATAGATAGATAGATATATAAAATACCATAGAGTTATGTATTTTTTAAATAAAAACATTATAGTACCAACGCTGAATATTTCTTTTTAAAATTACACACCCTAACTAATTCTTATATACACCAGTCATCCCCATCCACCATTCACCTTTTTGGGAATTCCATTTTCAATTTATTCTAATTTTGTCCCCTTATTTCTCTTTCTTCTTTTTTTAATTTTTCTATTATCTTATACTTCATCTTAGCTTTGTAGAAAAAGTCATACACACACAAAAACACCAATACACCTATTTTAGTTGCCTTGTTATTGATACCAAGTATACATTGATAACAAAAATCTTTTTTTTTGAGATTCAATCTTGCTTTATCACCCCGGCTGGAGTGCAGTGGTGCAATCTCAGCTCACTGCAACCTCCACCTCCCAGTTTCAAGCGATTCTCCTACCTTAGCCTTCCAAGTAGCTGGGACTACAGGTGCCTGCCACCACATCTGGCTAATTTTTTTTTTTTTTTGTAGAGACAGGGTTTTACCATATTGACCAGGCTGGTCTCAAACTCCTGACCTCATTATCTACCCACTTCAGCCTCCCCAAGTACTGGGATCACAGGCATGAGCCACCACACCTGGCTGATAGCAAAAATCTTAATTTCACTCTACTTTGTTCCTCTTCTATACTTCCCCTACTCAGTAAATGGCACATACGTCTACCTCGTTGTTGAAGCAAAACACTTGAAAGTCATCCATGCTACCTTGTTTTCCCTCGCACCCACCATTCAGTTCATCTTCAAGTCCTGTTCATTCTGCCTCAAAATTATCTCAGATTTATTCACTTTCCTTTACTTCTATTTCCACCACTTTAAGCTCCCATCATCTTCCACCTATAATAGCTCCTTAACTGGTCTCACCATTTTCACTGTTGACCTTATTCTCAATGCAACCAAAGTGATCTGTGAAAAATACAGACCAGATCTCCTTTTGCATTAGGATGCAATGCAAAGTCATTAACATAGTATCCAGGCTCTGCATGACTGAGCCCTTGCCTGCCTCTTGGATACCTCATTTCACTCTTCCCTTTGCAGACCACACTATTCATGTTGGCCTTTTTTTTAATTCACAAAATGCACTAAATCTCTTCTAGTCTCAAGCGTTTCACATATGCTTTTTCCTGGAATTGAAAAGCTCTTTTTACACTTTGCCTGATTAACTTCTGGTCATCTTAGATCCAAGCTTAAATTGCGTGTCTTCAGAGAAGCTCTCTGAAATAGAAAATCAGGCCCCTATTATAAATTTTATTTCCATTTTTCATAATATCCAAGCAATTTATAATTGTACATTTTTTATATAATTTTCAAACTAAATGCCTGTATCATCCTCTACACTGTAAGCGCAATGAGTGGAATTGTGTCTATTTTGTGCACTGCTGTATTCCTAACACTTAGTCCAGTAGCTGGCTAGCAAGAGATCAGGATTATTGAATGAGTACATAAACATGGAAATAAAATCTTCAAACAAGCAAACTGATACCTGTTTGAAAACAAGTCATAGCTCAAGCTGTGTTTTACCTAGTTCTTAGTAGGTATATAAAACTACTCCATGAATGAATGAATTCATGCATAGAAACAAGTAATAAGTAGAACTCACTTTGTGTTGCTCTCTTACCATAAACTATGTCGATGGTGATTGTGTATGTTGTAAATCTGTTGGGTGTCTGTCAGTACTTCATGAAGACTGAGTAATTCATTTCAGATATCATTTGTTTTTCAAATGGGAAATACCTCTCTAAACCAGTGTGTCTTGAAATGCAACCAATAATTCAGGGGCAAAGTAAAAAAAAATCCTGGTTCCATTTTTGACACCATCACCTGTGTGCTGTTCTCTGCATTCTTGAATAACATATAGACCCTGAGAAGTAGGTGAGAACTTAGAATTAGATAGACAAACCCTTCCTTATCTAACGCTAGTAATGTGGAACCCAATCTACTGTCTTCACAGGTCTATGTCTTACTATCACTCATGGTAAAATAAAAATATTCTGGGTTCTTTTGCCCTAAAAAAGATATTATAAAAATGTATCTATTAATTTATTCAACCAAGACTTATCAAGGATCATCAACAAAGCAAAAGATACTACTCTAATAGGACAATTTTTCACAAAGGTGCAAACTGAAAGACAGTCAACAATGTTGAAGAAATGCCTGATTTTTAGGATGCAGTAGATAATGATGAACATTTTTTTCAGAGCTTTTGAAAACTTCCTGCAGTCTATTCTAGAAACATGCATATACTGGTACAGCAATTATGGCTTCAGATTAGGATATGCACTAGCTCTGGGAAAGTTAGCATGTGAAACCATCCTTACATTTACATCGGGATAATTCTTAATCCACATTTAGAGGAATAAAGGTGAGTCAGCAAAAGCAACCAGAGTCAGTCTTCTGAGCTTCATTGGGAAGACCCAAGTTCTCAGCTCTTTGAATTAATAGCAAACATTTAGGAATGATTTAATGGTACACATAATTTACTTCTGTAAGATCATTTAAAAGAAAACAGAGAAGTTGTTAGGTTTTTCTTAGGAAAGTACTTTAAATTACTTGGCACAGTGCCTACAGCTGCAGATTATGTTTGGAGGAATTGACTTTTTAATGCTTGGGGAAGCAAGAAATGTGCAGAGCCTGAAATCAGACTAAAATTTGAAAATGAAATGGGATTTCTGTGAGACTCCTGCTTATCTAGTACATCTTTTTCTTTGAAAAGAAAAGGAGTTTTTGATGTTGTAATTGATTTCTCTACTTTGGGAGAATAAGTTATTCAGCTTTTGATATTTCTAGGGCAAAGAGAATAGTATTCTTGGCTGTTTTTTCAATATTTATGGCATACATTTATTTGTCATTTTATGTAAATGGTCCTAATTATTGTTATATTGCAGTTGATAAAGAGGCTGAGATAAACCAGATGAAGGCTGATTAAAATATGTTGGCAGGTTTGAGATGGGAAATGAACTCTGAAGCACTATATCATTATAAAACATCTTCAGTCACTGAAGGATATATATTTGTGGGACTTCAACTAAGTACCAGGCATCATCCTTAATGTTAGGGTTTCAAAGGTGAAAAAACATGGTCTCTCCCCTTAAGTAAACTA